TGAAACTGATCAACATCTTTGAATTATAAAAATGTATTTCAATTTCTTAACAATATCTTTCAACGGTTTAAAATATTTAATATAATTTTGGACTAATAACGAATCAAAATCATTATGTTTATGATAGTATAATATAATAAAACGCGATATATAAATTAATGAAATGTGAATAATACAATGTATAATAGATATCGATATATTCAAGTTGAAATTACAATTTACATATTCTATAAATTTCAATATATATATATATACATATATGCATACGTGTGTGTATGTATGTGTAATGTGTATATGATGTGTATGGAATGAATAACAAGAATCATCGAAAATTGCATTTATAACATATAAAGCGATAGATTATTTGGTCTATTGAAAATTACTTGTACAATGACAGGATTCATTTCTTTTTTATATGGAAGCAGAAGGGTAACCGAAGCGATAGATACGGTCCTAACCGTAGTTTGCCGAATACAGTCGAGGACGCCCGATCTTGGTGGAGGCCCGTAGCCATGTGTTGCGGTCTGCCGTGAGTGCTTTCTGACAAGGGAGGTGCGGTGTCTGCATTTTTTCTTTACTCGTCACAGCCCGGAAAATCGGGATTTTTCGAATAAATAGACGAGGTATGTGTATTTACGGTACTTTGGCATAGCATCAATAAGATTCGAAAGTGTCAAAGTGCAAGAAAAATTCGATATTTGGAAAAGAAAGTGTGTATATTTCTCGCGCGGCGTCGGCCGAACGAGACGACGAAGGAGTTCTGCTTCGTCTCTCGATGTATACACGAGTAGACTACAGTCGGTATGTGTGTTTGTTTGTGAGAGTGCGCGATCGAAACGAAGAGCACCGATTCGGATCAGTTGAAGACCGGTAGACGTTTACAAATGCAGGAACTGAAACAGAGGCATCGAGTGGAAACGAAAAAAGAGAGAGTGCGCATGATAATCGTGTATCCTCGATAGCTACCAGATAGAGACGGATAGGGTGCTGCGTGCAACTTCTCTTTTCTACACGTACATATACAAACACAAATACAATATACATAATACATACACGACACGCACTCACGACGCACGCACGCACGCACTTACACACGCACGCACGCACGCACGCACGCACCTACTATATTTTTTCATTCTCGCTCTCGTAGATGCTCCGATCTTCTCTTTCCTTTCCCTTTTTCATCCTACTATTTCTATCTTTCTCGATAGCTCTGACTCTGTGTGTCTTGCGCGTGTAGTAGGGCGAGCACGCGAGCAAACGACAAACGAACGAATGCGCACGGGCATGTTCGTTTCTGTGTTAGTATTAGCGTCCCGTTCGTTGTGTTTTGTGTATTCTGCTTGTAACGAGTGTCGCCCGGACATATATTGCAAGTATGGCTGGTTGATCAAACGGCGATGTCAGTTTCGTAATTTCTAACTATACTATATCTTTTTGTCTACATATTCAAAACTTGAAGAAGAGGCAGTTATTGAATCTATTCAGGCTTACGAATGTGGTCTCATAAAAGGGAATCGCGTACAATGTACTTACGTGTTCTCGGACTTTGGGAAAGTGCTACGTATGTTTGTTCCTTCGTCGCATGTTCGTGTTTATCGAGTGTGACGAAAAACTGTATACGATCACTATGTGTATTTACTTCGAAAGCTTAAGAGAATTAGAAAAATATAATAGAATGTAAAAAAAAAAAAGAGGGGGGGGGAGGGAAAAATCGGAGGAAATTAGAAACGGAGAGAAACAAAGCAAGGTTGAAACGAGTGAGTGAGAGTGAAGGTGGACGAGCCACACCGGTTAGTTAACGCTACTACCGAAAAAGAAGAACATGTAGTGTCGCATGGATAATCAAGCTTAAGTATACACAATACAAAGTGCATACAGTGCGAATATATGTGTTTGCAAAAATGTGTACGGACGCGAGCACTTGTGTATTTAAACATATCGAGATCTGGTTGAATGATAGTTGTTACTAGTGTTCGTTTATGCGTGGTTATGTAGGTGCGTGGGAACGAGGTCGTGAGGTGAATTTACTACGCGTCATGAGACACTCGACAATACCGGAAAATTGGTCATCTTTCTTGGAATTGGATTACCTTCTGGAATACACCATCCTCGATGAATCCACATGAATAATAACAGGAGCATCGACGGAAGGAAAAAGAATCTCGAATCTGGCAAGAAAGGATGGATTTTTGAAACGATCAACACGCAAACCTATCCAGCCTTCGATAAAAGCGCACGATGGTAAGAAGCTTGTATTTCCATCGATTCACACAACGTTATACTTTTTATCCATACGTGGTGCACGACAGTGTGCACGCTTTTATCGAGCACGTATATATTCACCACTTACCTAGTGCGTGGTGTGTCGCATTGTGTCGTATTGCTTCGTTTCGTTTCGTTTCGTTCCGTTTCGTTCCGTTCCGTTCCGTTCCGTCTCGTCTCGTCTCGTCTCGTCTCGTCTCGTCTCGTCTCGTCTCGTCTCGTCTCGTCTCGT